ATGTACGTAATGATAGTTGACTATAAGTCTAGATACAACAATGATAATTTTATTTTTAAAAGCAACCCGAAAATAATTATACAATTAAGAAGATTAATTTACAATAAACTTACATTAATAGAGTTTATTAAAAAAACCTTTAAAATCGCGGTCTGTCCACATTGTTTTCGAAATTACTCATCAATAAATTTTTCTATTCAAAAAACATTTCATGAAACACTTTAATAAGTGTTCAGCTTTTTTTCTTCCGACACAATAATGTTGAGTGGTGGTATGCAATGAGTTTCAGAAAAAAAAGTCATTCTTTACTTCGAAAAGTATTTGACATAACAAGCTTTTCAAGATATCTAAGTGTGAGATATTGAGAGTATACTGTATACTGTATACATACATATATATAAGATTGTTTTTTGTATAATTTTTTAAACACTAAATTTTACTAAGACTTTTAATAATAAATTTTACTTTTTGCTGCCACAGGAAAAAATGGACAAAATAGTTGCTTTTAGTAGCCAAAAGCATGAAAATAGTAGCCGAAAACTATGAAAATAGTTGCCTAAATAAGAACAAAAATTCATCAAAAATGTGACTAAATTTTGTTAATGACTTAATTGTCATATACCATGATTCATTTAGTCAAGTTAGTGGCAAATATTATAATTTTTATATAAACGTTAATGTTCTAGCACAATTTTTCCTTTTATCAATAATTTATCTAGGAAATATATATAAATATATATATATACACACACATATATATTGTGAAAAGTGAATACTCAAATTTGAAATTCACTCATTGTAATATCGTTTTAAAAATTGTTTTTCATTTTTACTTTTAAAATCATGCAGAATTTTGAAGCAATAACCATTGAAAAGGCGATCGAGACCGAAATAGACTTACAAAGAAATCTGCAGAGTGAACGAATTAAAAAGTGAAAACTCAAAATTTGCACAAAATTTTAAAATTTTTTTAAGAAAAAAAAGTTTAGTGTGTTCAAAAGCTATTGTGGGTCGCAGGTATTGAACCCAATTTATACTGAAAAAAACATTGTTAGGAGTACAGAAAATTCTCGCAATAGTCTCGTTTTCCTTGAAAATAGTTGCTTTTTTAGACTTTTCAACTAAATGCAGCAATGATAATTTTATTTTTTAAAGCAACAGAAAAATAATTATACAATTAAAAAGATTAATTTACAATAAACTTACATTAATAGAGTTTTTAAAAAAACCCTCTAAAATCGTGGTCTGTCCACATTATTTTCGAAATTACTCATCAATAAATTTTTCTATTCAAAAAAATAGCTGCCAAGTCATCGTTTTCTATGTTCTTGGAGCATTTCATGAAACACTTTAATAAGTGTGCAGCTTTTTTTCCTTCCGACACAATAACGTTGAGTGTTGGTATGCAATGAGTTTCAAAAGAAAAAAAAAAAATCTACTTCGAAAAGTATTTGACATAACAAGGTTTTCAAGATATCTAAGTGTGAGATATTGAGAGTATACTGTATATACATACATATATATAAGATTGTTTTTTGCATAATTTTTTAAATACTAAATTTTATTAAGACTTTTAATAATAAATTTTATTAAGATTTTTAATAATAAATTTTACTTTTTGTAATTTACAGGGCTGCCACAGGAAAAAATGGACAAAATAGTTGCTTTTAGTAGCCAAAAGCATGAAGATAGTAGCCGAAAACTATGAAAATAGTTGCCTAAATAAGAACAAAAATTCATCAAAAATATTACTAAATTTTGTTAATGACTTAATTGTCATATACCATGATCCATTTAGTAAAGTTGGTGGCAAATATTATAATTTTTATATAAACGTTAATGTTCCAGCACAATTTTTCCTTTTATCAATAATTTATCTAGGAAATATATATATTTTGAAAAGTGATTACTCAAGTTCGAAATTCACTCATTGTAATATCGTATTAAAAATTGTTTTTCATTTTTACTTTTAAAATCATGCAGAATTTTGAAGCAATAACCATTGAAAAGGCGATCGAGACCAAAATAGACTTACAAAGGAATCTGCAGATTGAACAAATTAAAAAGTGAAAACTCAAAATTTGCACAAAATTTAAAATTTTTTTTAGTGTGCTTAAAAGCTATTGTGGGTCGCAGATTTTGAACCCAATTAATACTGAAAAAACATCGTTAGCAGTACAGAAAAGTCTCGCATTAGTCTCCTTTTCCTGAAAATAGTTACTTTTTTAGCCTTTTCAGGCAAAAAAAGTTGCCATAGTCGAATGCCAAAAATAGTTGCATTTAAGTTGCCTGAGGCAATCCTTAAGTTTGTAATAAATATACTTATAATTATAAAATAAAAAAATAACAGTAAACATTTATGTATATAAAAATAAGTAACTTAAAAAAACAACTTAATGATAAATCTATAGTTTAATCCTAAACTAATGTAACATTACTATCTATGTCCTGTTATCTAAACTAGTACAAAAGCACATAAACCTCCTAACTCATAAACTAGTAACTGAAAGTGTAATGAACAAATGTGGTCCCATTACCTATTTTAAATCTCTAGCATTAGTAACAATTCATAACAATTAAAATAGATCAATAGACAGAAAACAACAAATATATATTAGATTTTCTTTGTTTTCTTAGATTTTCTTTTTGAAAGCAAAATTTTTTTAATAGTAAATTTTACTAAGTATAAAATTTTTAAATGAATTTAATTTTTCTTAAAATCCTTAAANAAATGTGGCCCCATTGCCTATTTTAAACCCTATTTTTAAATGTGGCCCCATTGCCTATTAACATTAGCGATTTGCATTCTGAAACTGAACTACAGGGACTGCTCCTTTATATTTTGGAAAGGGAAATCACAGCTGCTAAAAACAAGTATCATCTTTGTAAAGATGACACTTTCAGCTGGATTTCAAACTGAGGAAGAGAGAACAAATGGGTTAAGCTGTTTCATTGAAATCACTCAATTATCGCCATTATTTCTGAGCATTAGTTATATGTTTATTTTAAATTTAGATATGAATTCAACAAAATTGATCACTCCTGATTAAACAATATAGTGAGCTTAGTGAAAACACCTACTACTAATAATTATTATCTAAAAGATAAACAGCTGAATAATTAAAGGTTAAACAATGAAAAGATTAAAAATTATTTAAGATAATAAATTCACAGTTGCAATATGTAAGGAACTCCTAATATATAAAATTTTTCTGCTTCAAAATCTACCCTAATAGTTGCTTGTAGTTTGTATCAAACGCTTGTAGACAAAACCTTAAAATGAATAAAAAAATTATGAATAAATCATGAGTAATAGTGAACACACTAATAAGCAATTGAACAATCGAAAAAAATTNGGAACTCATATATAAAAATTTTCTGCTTCAAAATCTACCCTAATAGTTGCCTTGTAGTTTGTATCAAACGCTTGTAGACAAAACCTTAAAATGAATAAAAAAATTATGAATAAATCATGAGTAATAGTGAACACACTAATAAGCAATTGAACAATCGAAAAAAATTTATTTTGTGCTATAGAAGTATTTTTAGAATTGTCTCTAAATAGGAACATCGATAGGTTAAAAACTTCTGACACTTCACATTTATAACAGAAACATAAAAAAAAAAGAAAAACAGATATATAAAAGCAAAACTTTTGACAAAAAAAGGAAAAAAAAAAAACAGGGATAGATTAAAACTAATAAGCAATAGGTACATTAAAAATAATTTTTTTTCTGCTTTCAATGCATTACTCTAAAAAGGATCATTAATAAGATCATTTTCTGATACACTGCATTTATAACAGCAACATAAAAGAAGAAAAACATATATATAAAAAAAAGCATGACTTTAATTACCGCCGGACAAGACAAGTTTTCCCAACAGCAACATCTCGAACAACAATGACTTTTATCAGCCTGAGCCTATAAAAATGCAAATATAGTCAATGTTTTTTGAAGACACAAATATTGATAATTGAAGTTACATTCAATATGCAAACATTTTCCCAGACTATAATTATTTCAATTACAGTAGAGCCTTGATTATCACTAAAAAGTCTTCGATTTGAATACTTCTGTTAATCAAAATTGATTTTGAAGTGTTTTTTTTTTCTTCATGCATATTTATTTCTTTTCCTATTTAAATTTAGTGCCCTTTTATGGAATTAAAAATAAATGCTTTATTATTCGGTGATATTAAAAATAAGAATTGTTAAATACTCAAAAAAGATATATTTAATAAATTGTATTTCATTATAATTAAGAAGTTGTATGAACATTATAAATAAATGAAATGAACTTTGAATCAATGACATCAGCTAAGAATTCAAAATTAGATATTGCTACAATAAATATACAAACTCTACTTCCTAAAATATTTTGAAAAAGGTATTGTAAGTATTTTGAAAAAGGTATTGTAACTTAAAAAAAAAGATCTTGAGGGAAATTCCAAACCTGAAATACTGAGTTTTGGTGAAAAATAGGGCTCTGAGAATCTAATGCACCCTGGGTCAAAGTCAAAAAAATCAGTCAAAGAATGCTCCCTCGATAATATGATTATTTCAATTGGGTACTTGCACTGCAAGAAGATCTCCCATACCCACACATGTAACCATGATGTCAACTAATCTTTATCAGCAAAATGGCGTATTAAAGTTGAGTCAAGTTTCTCCACATAANACATAATGTCAATTAATTAAATACAGAGCTGAATCAGTTGAAATATAATTCTTTTTTGTCTACTTCTTTTACTCAACTTAGATTTATAAAATGTTTATGTGTACCCTGGCAACTTCGATCAATAATTAGTTTATGTTCCACATGGCTTCGTCCCTGCTGTTAAGTCTCTGTGTAAATATATGGTGAAACAATCAACAACCAATCAACATTGAGATCCCTCTGTCTAATGTAACAAACTTACTTCAGACAGTAGAGGTCTTACTTTATTTGAATTAATTCAGAGTAAGCTAACAATGATTAATTCGTATAAGATAACATGTATTTGAGAGTAGAAATAAAAAAAAACAAAACATGATAGAAAAGCCATAGGCAACTCTCTTACAATTATTCATTTTAAATTACTTTAATAAGAAAAATACCATAGAAACGAGAGAGAGAAATAATCTTACATTTCACATTTCAAACTATTTATTTTATGGCAAGCACTGTGAATCCGGTAGGAAAAGTTCATTTCTCCATGTGGTGAACAATCATAGTTGTATGGCTAAAAAGCAATAAGTGAAATTTTAAAACGTTAATAAATAAATAACAATTATACATGTTTTTGTGAATCAAATCACTATTGACAACTAACATGAAAAGTTGCTGAAAATTATTTTATTATTAATTTTTTACTACATATAATACAATGGTCTCTTGAGCGATTATAAGGGAGGAAGCAAACAGGACATTTTTTTCAAGGCTCTGCTTTTCGAAAACTCTACACAGTTCTGAGAGAAGTGATCTCTAAAAAATAATTTTTTCTTAATAATAATAAAATTTGGATTTTAAATTTATTTTTGCGAATGAAAATTTGAAACATTTGTTTTCTATTGCAATTAAAGGGATAGATCTAATAATCTAAGCCTAACTGCTGAAAGCAGTGGTCTCTACCAATACCTCCTAGAAAGGAATCAAGCCACTTTTCGGTTTTGCATTTGAGATCTTAAAACTGTTTACAAAAGCTCGTTGTCGCATAAAATAAAAGTTTTTTTGGTAAATGTTATTTTTATACCCACTTTATAAATTATGTGGACACTTTTTCAGAAAGTGAAAGTTACACTTTTAATAATATAAGCAGTCAAAATATGGCAAACATTACAAAGTTCATATCTAAAATGAAGAAACATTTTAAGAAACAAGTGAAATAAATTAATTTTTAGAACAGTATAAAAGATGCATACTGGTGACTCCAGCCAGTTTTGTGAATCAGTCACCTTGTGGCTACAGGGCCACCAAATCTAGATAGAGACGGGAAATATAGAATTATAGCTTTGCCTCCAGTGTAAGGCCCTTAAACTGTGGTTTTATTTATTTTCTTCGACGAAAGAGCTCCAAAAAAAAAAACTCTTAAATAATGTGATTTTAAAAGTTAAGCATGCACATACATAACCTTAAACCAAGTGGCAGAGTAACTACGAAAAAATAAATACATAATTAAATTCTGTCAATGTTTCTTAATGTTTGAAAATGCTGCTATGCATCCATTCAAATTATTCAAAAGCAATTTAAATAAATTATCTAAAAGAACTAAATAAATATAATTAAGAAAACAATATTTTCATATCGTAATACAGAAATCCTATAATAAATACTATTTATTACTAAAATTTTGAGATTAATTTACTAAAATTAAAATTTTTTTAAATGTTATTAGTATTACTTCAGTTAATTGTATAAAATCCTTCCACGATTATAGAACTGGAAAATAATGTTTCAGGAGTTGTGATGCCTATATAGACATCACATATTTCCTAGCATTTAAAGATTTCTTTAATTTCTTAAATTAAATTTTTTCTAATCATTCTTAATCCAATTTTCATTAAATTAAACTAATTATTAGTTTTTATTACATTTTATAAAAAGCGAATATAAATATTTAATTCTTTTCCGCACAATCAATACAACGGTTAATTGTTTTAAAATTCAAGACAAATGCATAATTC